TCCTGCAACAGACAGAAATTGACAGGACTACCCCAGCCATGAAGACAGAATAGAAACAGTCCAGAGATGGAAGATGCTGACAAAACCTTGCCATACTAGCAGTCAGAAGCTGTGTGTTTGCTGCACGTTGCCCAGGACCAAACCAGAGAGGGTTGGGCATACATTACCACCATTTGTCTCCCATCCAGAACTGAAATATCATTGCTGACATGTACACATAAGGAACAGTTTTACATTGAAATTGAGACTCAAAAAAACTGTTGGCCCACAAAGAAACTCACTACAGACTGATTCATTTGCCTCCCAGCATAACTATTATGGCTTGTCTCATTTTTGGTTCATATAAGTGTATTTCTAGTATCACATGAGCTCATTCATCTAGGGGAAATGATGAACAATATAGACTGATGAACAAGAACAGACCCAGAGACAAGGAAGCATCGTTCAGACTGTTGGACCTCAGAGGGAAGGTAAGGGACGGTGGGGATAAGGGGGATAGATCAACCAAAAGACTTGTGTGAATGCATATGAGCCTAACCAGTGGTCATGGACAACAGGGGAGTTGGGGCATGCATGGGGAGCGGTTTGGGAGAAGAATGTGGGGAATGAGGACAAATATGTGATACCTTAATCAATAAAGAAATTTTTAAGAATGAATAGAATTCCAAATTTTATAGTGAACTGCTTCAGTTATAGGTATATATTTAAGAAAATTATATAGCTCTTACAACACCAGCTATGAAACTTTATTTTTAATAATAGATAAATGTTTTGGAAACATTTATATATACATATATATACATATATATGTATACCTATCTATCCATCTATCTATATATATGTTTTATACATTTAACTTTCATATATAGGAGTATGCAAATTTAGTATATATGATAACATATACACATGTACCATAATTTCCATTCACATAACAAGTATAAATTTGGCTATATGGGAAAGTATGAAGTCATAGTGGAAACAAAAGTGCTTCAAATTCAGAATCCCAGAAATTTAGAAAGCAGTCTAACCTTTATGCATATTGAAATGGAATCAAAGCAAACAACAGGAATGCTTTCTAAGCTTAAACTGCATACCAACACACCTTTAAAAATTTTCTGGTATAGTTAACTTTTTAAATCTGACACAATTTTATTAAAATTATTACCTCTCACCATGGTGTGCATAGAATTCAGCCCTTAATCTGAGGTAAACTTAGATGCAAGAAATAAAAATTTATTTTTCTATAATTTATTATGCTGGACATGATGTATTGCCAAATTTGGACTCTTAATTTCTGTTCCAAAGCATTCACTTCACTAATATAGCTGAAATTTCCTCTCAGTCAATTGGAGTTCCCATCTCCTTTTCACAAGACTGCCTAAACTCTGGGGAACTTGAGGAGTTCCATGCTGTTGAAGGGTGAGACAGTCTAGTCCAAGCAGGAATTCATTGAGATGTCTCATACCAATAGTTTGCATAGATTGCCACTGAGTTGTGTTCATTTCTACCCACGTGACTCTTTGACTTCTCTCATCCTTATGTGCCACTCCTGGATGCACAAGAAACATTCTGTTGTTTTTGTACCTCATTGGACAAGTGAATTCTCTAGAGTGTTTTATCTACTTAGAGTCTATGACTATGTAGTCATTTAGAATATTGCTTTTTCCTTAGTGTAAAGTTCTATTCAGGAAATTTAACACAGGTCCCTTCTCTTTCTTAGGGTGGATGAAGGAGGAATGCATGCGGCTAAAGTGGTAAGGCATTATCAGCAAGGGAAAAGGAGAGATTCCTGATTTGGCATCTTCCTTGGCTGGTTTAGGAGGATCCATAAGGGAGGGAGGCCTAATCAAGGCCAGCAGTTGAGTCACCGAAGTAGGATTCAGAGATAAGCCCAGGACTAGCTACCACTACCTATTGCTCTCTAAGTAGCAAACTCAGAGTGATCAAAGCCTGGATGATGACCCATGGAACCCTCTCATGTTTCAGCACCAAATGTTAGGGTCACCAAAGGAAGAACGCACCAGGCCAAAACGGTGAGGGATTCCAAATTTATTCGATCATCTGCACAGCAGTTGGTTGAGTCCCAAAGTGGCACCAGCCCCCAGTGACAGGCATCAGAGGTTTTTAAAAGACTTTGGTGGGCTTTTTCTAGGCAGAGAATTCTCTGTGCAAGTCTGGAGGGAAGAGATAGTGGTCTTAGCAAGTGTAATTTGGTCTCAGAAAGGGAATTGCAAAATGACCTGGAACTCAGTTCCCAAGGAAGGGGTATTGATGCAATTGCTTGATCAAACCTAACACTTTTAAATCTAATAAAACTACCTTAATATAATGCCACCTCCTCAGAGATCATACTCAACCATACCCCTACACTCTATGATCTGGTATATGTTAGTGTTAAAATTTATTCATGCATTTAAATTAATTTTCCCCTTTATTTGGATGACTACCTAATGAGTATGCATTTGAATCCCTACTTTAATGACATGATGAGCCACAATTACATGGAAAAAAATTAAGAGTTTTAAAACAACTTTCCTTCCCAAGCAAATGAATTGAAGATGCCATTTCATATATTAGTTCACCATTCTACCTAATACAGTTGGTAAAGGGCAATGAACCAGATTGTAATATTTCTCCTAATATTACAATTCCCCATATTAAAACATACATATAAGATGCCATCCTTGCTCATGGTATAGGAGAGACTGTCCACATTGCAATCAATAGGGAAAAGTCTTTCCAACTGATAGGATGATAGCACCTTCAGGATCATGAGCCTGGGAATTGAAGGAGAGGCTACATGGATCTATTCTCTCTTCTTTCTCTACCATAGAATAACCTGTGAGACTTCCACTTCACCAAATTCATTGACACTCCTGTCCCAGGTGGTTGACACTACTCTAAATTTGACAAATTGCTATATATGTAACCTACAACCTAACATGGCAGATTAATGTCTGACTGCTGTGCCACTAAATGCAATAAGTGGATACTTATCTAAATATGGGATTTTTAATACCTCAGATACCCCAAAGTTATTACACTGGACCTGATTCCATTGCCACAATTGGACTCTGACACTACAGAAACAAAATGTCTCCTCTGATGTCAACTTGTTCTTTTCTGAGATGAGATTAGCTGAAGTTTCTGGGAACAGAGATATGGGATCTTCCATTGGGGCTACTTTGACCTCCATAGAGGTGGGCTCTCCTTTCCTATATTTTTCCCCAGGATACACAAATTTTTACAATTCCACTAAAGGACACTACCTACCAGGAAAGTCTTCTGACTGATTGCCCCATGGTAATTAATGACTTTCAAACTCCCAGCACTGTGTGTGCCCCATTTTAGGTATTATTTCTTTTCTAAAAGTAAGGCCTTCGATATTCCTACCAATGTAACTTTTATTTATGGAGCATTCATAAAAAATTTCCACATATTCAAACAAGGCCCTCCCATTGAGCATATCACACACATTGAGAATAAAAAGAGAACTCCAAAACCAGGTAGACTAGTTACTCGGGAGATTTGTCATGTGATATTACTATCTGTTCATGTGTATGATCTAGGCAACTTTTCTCAATGTCAGGGTTGGGTTATTCAATTAGAAAACATAGTGTGCAGCCTGTCCTTTACCTCTGCTGAAGTCATTAATGACACTACTTCAGCTTTGGAAGCACAAAAAGCTGGCCTCAACTTCTTGCCCAAGTACTGTTGAATAACTGCATAGCCTTCAACTTCCTGCTGGCCAGCCAAAGAGGAGTCTTGCTATTGCCAGCACTTTGTGTTGCACTGAGATCACTGAAACTGGCAAAGTATAAATGTCTATCACAAGATTTAAGAAAAAAAAGTAGACTTTCTAAAGTAGATATGGTGGGCTATGGGACATTTATTCCTGGCTTGTCAATGGTTAGAGCTCATGGTTACACTCAATCCCCCAGGCAGACTTGGAAAGATTTTAATTATGGTCATTATCTACTGTGGCCTTAGATTAATTACCCTGTGTTTTTTGTTTGTTTGTTTGTTTGTTTTGTCTTGTTTTGTTTTTACCTTCAAAGCCCAACCCATTCAGGATCATAACGGGTTAGCCTATGTTTCTCACATGGGTCCTGAAATACCAAGGAATGGAATTGAGACATCTGACTCCTAGAGAAAATCATATGTATGATTTTTCAGGTCCAACTGCAGACAATTACAAGGCCTGTTGTAGACATCACTTGGGACAGCTGCCCATCCTACACCAGACTTGGTGCATATCCTATACCTAGCAGTAGCTGAAGGAAGTTGGAGTAAAAAACTCTGGCCCCTGACTGGTCATGCTCTTATGCATATTTACACTGAAAAGCCTTTGGAGCCTGTGTTAAAAGACAGGGGAAGATGGAGGGAGGAACCTTGAGGAAACTTTTTCTGTACTCTGACTTAGTAGTTTTCCACTCCAACTCTTTCCCCTCTTCCTTTCCCCACCCCACCATTAGGTCCATAAAAAAGAATAGGAATTTTTTGCTCCCCGCTCTCTCAGCAATAAAACAATTTTCCATATATGTGCTGATCCATCTGACTCTCACTGCTGCTCTTCCCTGACAGAAAAAAAATTGGAACAGTGGGGAAGTGGACACTTTTTCTGGTTTAACTTTTTGCTTATATTGTCACAGTCAGTGGCTAAAAGCTTCACTATTACTTTCAATTTGTCTTTCTTAATCAGCTAATCTGATACCTGGCAATTCAGCTTTCTTCAGTTCAGGTAAAATCCTGATAGAACTTAATTTTTGTTAAGAATCCCAATAATCACATACAATTAACAGCATCTTCCAAAAGCATTTGATTATGGCAGTAATATCCATTTTTTAAACCAAAAAATAGACTCTCAGCTATTCTATTGTTTTATTTAAATAACAGTTTCTAGCTATAAGTCAACAACTTTTTAGTTGATTTGACACCTATCTCTATATGTGACCTGGCTTAATTCCTCTGGTATTACTGGATGGCAACTTGATTCATACCTTCTGTCCTTGAGGCCCTGGAGGTCCTTCTGGACCTGGAAATCCAGGCAAACCTGGATGGCCTTCCAAACCTGGAAATCCTCTCTCCCCCTGCAATTAAAAAGGAATGAAAGGTAAGGTCATTTATGAATTTTCAAGCACAGTAATGACTGAGAACCAGAAGGATCAAACAATTAGTATATAGAGAAAACAATTTAATATTAAAAAATATACAGAATCCACTAATGTGGGGAAACCTTTAAGATATGAGTGATAAAACACAAATCATTCTGAATTTATATCACATATGGTCATGTAATCTCATATTTTCTTGTAAAAGTAAAAAGCATATCAGTGATGAAGTGACATAAAAAGTTTACATAAATTGACATAAAAAGTTTAACAGGAAAGATGGCCATCAACCCAGGAAAATAGGTCTGCAAAGTTAAATGAAATAAGCATGGTGCAGGGATGAAAATAAATTTTAAAAAAATCAGAGAAGCTTTTAGATTTGTTATAGAGTAGAAGAATTGCAGGATTATTCATAATGGAAATTCATTAGCTGATCGGAAATAAATAAGCCAGAAAGGCTTTTTCTAGAATATGAATTTCTTTCCTGATTATAAATTTAATACAAAAAAGGAATACATTTATTGTCAAAAACAAAAATAAAGAGAAAACCACTAATAATCCCTCTACTCAGAATTATCATTTGAATTGTGACTCAAGTTCCAGTTCTGACCATAGCACTTATTAACACCAGCAAAGGAGGGCTGTCTACCTACCATTGAGGGCCCAGTCATCAGTATCTTTAGAATATTAATATATAATTTATATATATATATATATATAATTAATTTCAGAGAGGAAGAGGGAGAGATAGAAACATCAATGATGAAATCACCAATTGGCTGCCTCCTGCACACCTCTACTAGGGATCAAGCCTGCAACTGGGCATGTGCCCTTGACCAGACTCAAACCCAGGACCCAACAGTCTGTAGGCTGATGCTCTATCCACTGAGCAAAACTGGCTAGGGCTCCACTCATCAGTATTTTATCAGTATTTATATATCTATCAGCTGCCTACCTACCATAGAGGGTCTGTCTACTCATCAGTATCTTATCAGAATCTAAGGCTGCCTGATGTGTGTATCTGTACAGCCAGCTAGATGGCAGTAGCAGACCTTCCATATGTACTAAAATGTATATAATTTAATCAACACATTAGGGTTAATTAGCTTGTTTACAGCCAACCATAATAAGAGTATAAATCCCAACAGAAAACAAATTCACCACTACCAAGTTTAAAAATCCCAAGGGCTCATAGCCTCATAATACAGGTACCCAACTATAAGGCTGCAAGCAGTTGCTCTGCTTTCCTAAGGCTTAAAGGCTGAGTCTCTGCCCAGAGATTCTGGACCTCATTTGGGATCCCTCTTGCTAGATTCTATCCACAGTGACAGCCTAGGCAGTACCTTAAAAAGACAAAGCATCCACATCTACAAGACAGTTACTTAATGGGCCATTGGAGAGACATTCCCTAGAGCAGTGGTTGGCAAACTGCGGTTCACAAGCCACATGTGGCTCTTTGGCCCCTTGAGCGTGGCTCTTTCACAAAATACTATGGCCTGGGCGAGTCTATTTTGAAGAAGTGGCATTAGAAGAAGTTTAAGTTTAAACAATTTGGCTCTCAAAAGAAATTTCAATCGAACTGTTGATATTTGGCTCTGTTGACTAATGAGTTTGTCTACAACTGCCCAAGAGGTTATGATACAATAGACTTTTATTCATATCCCCAGTGTGTATGTGTGAGAGTGTGTGTGTGCACATGTGTGTGGTAAATGCTAAGTTTAGTCTAGATATCTTGGATAATTTTGTACAGAATAAATTCCTTGTAATACTGAATCATACTATAATCTACATATATAAAAGTTAAGCAACCAGAACAACCAAAATGACCAGTGGCTATGATGCCTACTATGGTGGCCAACCAGCCTGATCGGGCCCTGATTGGCCCCATCAACTTCCCATGGCCCCTCTCCCCAGCCAGCCCACTCCCAATCAGCACCCCCCACCTCCATCAGGGGCGGGCCCAGCCAACCTCCCAAAGTGCCCCCACTGGCTAGCCATGCCTCAATAGGGCCCTGATTGGGGCCAGGGTTGGCAGCTAACCTCCTGCAGCCCCTCTCCCATGCCAGCCCAGCCCTGATTCGCCCCAATTGGGACAGGCTGGCTGGACCCCACCCATACACAAATTAGTGCACCAGGCCTCTAGTATTCTATTATAATATACACTGAGTTGCCAGATATTATGATCTCTGATGCATAATAATCTGGCCACTCAGTGTATGTCCTATATAATAAAAGGCTAATATGCAAATTGTCTCCTCCACCAGGAATTCGACCAGAAAGCAGACCGACCAACTGCCCATGTCGCCTCCCCCTGCCCAAGCTGGCCAGACCCCATCCATGCACACATTTATGCACCTGGCCTCTAAAATACACACACACACACACACACACAGAGTGGCCAGATTATTATGCATTCAGAGATAATTTGAATAGTCTACTTTGAAAAGTCTACTCTGGTCAGTTTCCACTTACTACTTCAAAATCAATAAAGCAAATGTTAGTCAATTAATGGTAGGGCTAAAGATTCCTGTAGTTCTGACATTTATTATTGACATATTTCTATAAATATTTTTTAAATTTTAATTAGTCATATAATTATGATAACTTAGTATTCAACAACCTCAACTTAATTATTTATAGAGGGAAAGAAGAGAAAGAAAAGATTTAAAAGTTTTAGTTTTGAATTGCCTCAAATCATAGCCAATTCCTGGTAGAAATGGTTGTAGAAATCTGATCACAAGTGCCAGTCAGAAAGGAAGTTAGGAAGGAAAAACATCTAGTTCTAGTAGATTTTCTTATATGGGATCTCTGCTAGTATTTAGAGCCTATCTCAGCCAAAACTTGAGGATAATGCTTGAAGAGAGCTATATTTCCCAATAAGCATAATTGCTGTCTAGGTTATAGATGAGAAAGAAATAAACTAGAAATTAAAATTAGATGGTGCTAATTTTGTAAATCATATACCAATAAATTATATATTGTGAAATCTCCTCATACTACAGTCAAACTAGAGCCTGGTGCACAAAACTTGTGCACAGGTCAGGTCCCAAGTCCTGGCCAGTGATCAGGACTGATCAGGTTCCCCACCTCCCCTTCTCATCCTTCCCTCACCACCCATGCCCTGCCACCACATGGTTCCCCCTTGCCTCCCCGCCTCATTGCCTCCTCCTTCCCTCACTCCATCAGCACCCCACCATCTACGCACTGCCCCCTGGTGTTCAGTGCACATCATAGCAAGCAATCAAACTCCTGGTCTCATGGTCAAACTCCTGAGAGGACACTTTGTGTATTAGCCTTACAGTATAGATAATGTGGTCTTCTGTAGCTGACTGAGTAATATAACTAAGGAAGATACAAGGGGAACTCCTGAAGAGTAGCCAAAAGAATTGCAAGACTAATCCCTAGCCTTAGAAAGGTAGAATGTTTCCTGCAGTAGAAACTATAGAGATTTCCATGAGGAGATTGTGAGGGAGGTCCTTTACCATATTCCTAATATAGATGGTAGGAAGCAGGCATATGTTGTGTGCCTACCCTTTGCTACTGGCTGTCAGGCAATAATTTAATCTAGATTTTACAGTAATTTGATAACATAAACATAGAAAATGGCATAGTGTGTCTATATATGAGGGTCAAACTTGAAACAAACAAACAAACAAACAAAAACACCTGGTTTCTGCTGTCTGTCCATATTTGGATAAAAATTATGCTTGCAATTCTTTGTGAAATAAACTTCTCTCTCTCACTCTTCTTATCCCTTTAAATAATGATATTATTCTGGATTCCTTTTCTGATCCTGTCTCTCTCTTTCCCTGATAAATCTCAAATATCACCACATTTTTTCCTAAAAGCTTAGCTCACAGGGCCAACTGTCTTAAATATCTCCACTTGAATATCACACAGGCAACTACAAATTAACAGCAATAATTGCAGCAAAAATGTATTATTTATTTTCTACATGCCAGAGTTTATTCTAAATTCTTTCCGTGTTTTTACCCTATTTAATCCTCTCAATGAGAAGATGAGGTAAATACTATTTCCATTTTACAGATGAAGAGTTAGCACAAAGAGAAGCTTTATAATTTTCCCCAAAGCAAGTTAATGTAAACAAACAATTGAATTTATTAACTTTCTACCTTCTTCTCTATTCTAGGAAATAAAGCAATCCAGTTACCTCAGGTAGAAATTTGTTAAAATCTTGACTCCACTATCTTTATTACCTCTTAAGCTAATCAATCATGTTCTCTTCATCGTTGTATTGTTAATGCCCAACAGAAGAATATTCAATAAATATTTATTCAATGAATGAAATTCCTTAATCGATTATATAAAATGTATGGCACATGTTGTTGCCCAAAATTCAGAAAAAAACAAGAGTTAGAGTTAGTAGAAATTATACAAAGAATGACATTTTGTGATAAAGTTGGAACAAATGAAAACAATGATTGAATTGGATAACATGATTATAGTATTTTTGTGTTAATTCTATTTGTTTTTGTAATGATATAGCACAAAGAAATATTTGTCATACAATAATTAAGATAACAAGAATACAGCTCTAGCAACTGTCAAGATTGCATAAAAACCATTTCGATAGATTGCTTAAACACAGATTACCAGGCCTTACCTACAGAATTAGATTGAATAGGTCTTCTCCGATATCTAAGAATCTGCTTTTTTAACAACCTCCCATTAAATGCTGATGCCACTGGTAGAGAGACAAATTTTGTTTAGGTAATTTTTGACTGTGACATGAATTTTAGATTGTCAACTGATTAATTTCTTGTTCTCATTAGGTATCTAATATTATTTGTTTCTAGCACTGTGTATGTGGACAAAATCCTTCAGGAGAATCTATATGTTTTATTATTTTTGTGTTAAACTTACTTTTATTTATTTAAAAAATGTTTTATTGATTTAGATTTGTTCCTTCCCTATATATTTTTATTAAGGTATTATATATGTACATATTTTACCATTAC